CTCCAGGTTGTGGGAAGAGGAACTGAGCTATCTGCTGCTCCCTCTTGACTGGGGCCTGGGACCACTGCTACTCTACCCCAGAAGACTGTGAAAGGCACAGATCCCATGAGTCCCTGAGAATACATAAGCATTGCCCCTCTGCTACCCCAGAATAAACCTTGGGATTATCCATTGCCCTGAAGAGCCTACAGTCTGCTGTCAGGAAGACCTTCTTTGTGTCCTTCTTGAATCTCTCCTGTTGCACTGAGTTCATCTCTCCTTGTCAGTGTTCAGATATTAGGTTTGATGTGTTTTCTCCTATCTTTTCCCTCTCCCCATTTCCCAGCTCCAAACAGCACAAGAGAATCCAGAGCTTAAAGGGTTAACCGGACTAAGGGGTGTTATCTCCAGCTCAGGGCTTTCCCTGTGCAAGGTGATCCCTGCTCAGATCTTAAGTTACCTCCTGCCCCAGCCAGCACATCTGCTGCTGGCTCTGCAGACCTGGTCTCTATGGAGAGGGGCGGGCATCATGGGGCAGAAACATTTACCAGCTGGACTCGGGCACAGGGTCCTGGGATCCCAGGACTGGCCTCTTCCCCACTCCTTGCCCCTCATCCCCGCTTGCCTTTTCAACAAGGGGGCTCCTGCTTTCTGCTGAATGAACTGGGATGCTTCCAGGTACATGTATGTTGCCAACCTGGGCACACATATGGTTCAGCAGGGCTTTTCACAGCCCACGACTCAAGAGCTCCTTTTTAAATGCCCAGAGTACATCCCCTTTCTCCAGCTGATCCTTTTCCCCAAATACTCATGCAGGAAGCAAAGATGCCAAAATAGTAGCTGAAACTCTATTTCTTGTGGCCCCTCCCCGCCGTTCAGGAATCCTGAGAAGCAGCGGAAAGTCTCTCCAGGTGAGCATCCCCCGTGAGGATGCAGTGGCCCAGTCTAAGGCCAAGGGCAGAGCAGAAAAATAAGGCAGTGTCCAGGCTTCCCAACCCCAAAGGATATGACAGCTCATCTTGGAAGGAGCTGGCTAAGGGCAAATCTTAGGTCTCCTCCAAAGTCACCCTCACTGACACTCTGACATAAACACAGGTGTTACCAAGGCTCACGGCCACTCACAAAATCCTAGTTGGAAAGCCATAAGAAATCAATTGCATGTGAATATATATTTGATGTGTATTTATGGCCCCTGCACCATGGTGACCCATAGATCCCAGTGCACACGCCTCCTCGTCCTAGTCCCCATGGGTCTGCACGTGCACAGTAAATTGTAGATGACCAACACATGCACACACAGTCTTGCACATGTGTGTGTGCACCCACTCTATACTGAAGGTGAGGCCATAGGCAGATTGTCAAAAATGTTACAGCCTAAGCCCCACAGCTGGCTGATGGCCATTCTAGCCTGGCTCACTGGCTAACCTTCAAAGTTAAAAAAAAACAAATCAGCGTAACAGGTGAGTATACAGACACCCTCACTGTCTCCCCCAGCAGGTAGGAGCCATTCAGTTTACCAGGTTAACCAGGAAAGATACAATCAGGAAAACTGAAGGTATATTCACACCTCCCTTGGGTATTTTCTGTTTATGCTGAACAATGAGCATTAGTCAGCTGCTAAACAATGGCAGCATCATGGGCACAGCAACTGGGGCTGCCCCCCTGCCCCCCACCCTCCCCAGCCTGGCCCACTTGCTCAGCCGTCAGCACTAGGGTTCTGGCCGGAGACCATCCTGGCAGTGCACAACTGGGTCCCGGGTCAGGCCAACGAGGTGGATTCATTGTGCAAAGCTGAGCAGCCGAGAAGGGAATGGATATCAGAGTCTAGGCCAGTATCAGGCGACAAGGGGCGGCCTGTCCCGTAAACACAGAGAGTCAGGCTCAGAGACACTTTCTAGACCACTCAGCCCAGGGTGCTGGGCCCAGGCTCTGCCGTATCTCCTCCTCCCTTCCAGCCTTGACGATTCGGCCTTGAATCAGAGTCTGAGACATTCCACAGCGCTGCCTCCGAAATGGGCACTGGCATTCCTGCTTACCGGCACTGCAAACCCCAGGCCAGCAGGATTGGTTTTGCCATAACGTCCTGCCCAGCAAGCCAGAGCACACCACTGTCTGTGAGCGATGGGGAGAGAGGAGAATAACCCAACAGTCCTGACACCCCAGGTTTCGAAGGAAACCACCATGACAGCGAGCTCTGCATAGGCTGCAGAGAAGGGGGTGCTGCGGCCCCGACAGGTCTTCCGAGGGTGTGCGTGACACCTGGGGCGTGTGTTCTCTTTCCAGACAAAAGGTTTGGGGAAGCCAATTAGGGAGGGTGTGGTGTAGGTGGGACACCAGCTCAGCGCACCTGCTTCTAAGACAGGTTCTCTGCTTCCTCTCCCGGGCTCCTCCTGTCCCTCTGGGATGCAGCCCCCGTGCCCCACTGGCCCCGTCCTCTGAGTGAACAGATTCATCTCAGAGGCATGTGGGGCTTCACCACCCTGCCCGGTAAAGTCTGTGTTGTTGAAAATATACTTCTGTGCTTATACATCAAGAGCCGGATTTGGAGTGTTTTGAAGTCTGTGGGCCACCACACACAGCCCGGGGGGGCTCCCCCCCCACCAGGCTCCTCTCCTCCACCCTCCACGCCCCCTGCCATAGCCTAGGAGAACCCAGAAAGGAGCATCAGGCTGCCAAGTCCCCAGAGAGAAGCAGCAGCGGGCAATCAGGAGGGTGCCTGAGGGTGATGGTAAACGGGGTGCGGGAGGGCAACTTCTGGGCCCACCAGCCTCTGTCCAAGTGTCGTGTGGGCACTACCACATCCACCTTCCTCCCCTCACAGAGGCACCAGGGCCACAGGCACCGGGTAGAGGAGGCTCTCGGGTCGGGGAACTCTGGCTGCCCCGCTGACTGACGCTACCCAGTCATGACAATTACGATCAATCAAGGAGGCGTATTAGCTGCCTGTCTGAGCTGTGTGGTTCCTTCTCTGCGTCCCACCCCCTCAATCTGGATTTTTGGTGGGAGGAGTGTCTACACTTGAGCCAGGTGACAGTGTCAACTCCCTGCCCCCACTTCCTGAGTGGGAGGAAGCAGGGCAGGCCTCCAGCCCCCCAAAGAAGGAATGAACTACCAAGCACAGCACCACAAAGCTGGGGAAGAGAGTAACAAAAGGAGGGGAGAGTGGGGGGGGGCAGTGAACGTCCCCTCCCCAAGCCTTCCCGCTCTTTGTCTGACCCAGGATTAGGTTAACCCCTAGTTTGCTGGTCCACACAGGCCTCAGGAAAGCTGTCCTTTTGCTGGGTACTGGGTGTGGGTAATATGGGATTGAAGGGTTCCCGGAAGCCCAAACCCCGGTGTCGGACAAGTGCTAGAGCCTGAGCTTCTAGCATCTCCTGCTGGCTTCCCAGGAGGTCCAGGGAAAGATAAAGACCTCTTATTCTCACCGCCACCCTGCTGCGTGGAGGGACTCAACTATGCCTCTTTGAAATGGGCAGTGACACCTGTGTGCCCAGGAACTTACCCTTACCCCGCACACCTAGCAGGGCAGCGCCCCCCGGGCTGCAGGGCCGGGGGCACCGTGGTGCGGACTTTCACAAACCATTTTCTCCGCCATCGGCCACTCCGAGGCATTTTCGGAGCCCTGGCAGTGAGCTGGTGGCGGACGGGGTACAAAAGTGAATGCGGCCAGGTTCCTCCCTCCCAGAAGTGCAGGCCAGCCCCGCAAAACACACAACGTGGCTGGTCCTCAGATAACAGACAGCCCTCCGAGTCTGCAACACCGCACGTACCTCCTCCGCGGAGCTGCAGGCACAGCCGAGACCCAACATTCTCGCCCCACGCGGAGCCGGTTTCTCTGTACTTCGACCCCTTATTTTGCCACCTAAGTCCGGAGCCACGTGCTCCAGCCAAGCCCCCACTCTGCCCAGCCTCCTTCCCAAGCCCCCCATCTAGCTAGCGCGGGAGGTAGTTTCAGGTTTCCTTCACGAAGCCTGGAGGAACTCCCCCAAACCCCTCCCCCACTCCACCCGCCAGCCCCGACTGGCGCGCGGTGTCCCCAGCCACCGTGGGAGCCAGGCAGCTTCCCCAGGGACACAAAGGGTTAAATCCAGGCGAGGGGACTCGGTCGGATTTGCCTCCTAAACGCATTTTCCAGTTCATTCCCCAGCACAAAACGCCCGGGCCAGTCCCAGCCTCCGCCCCCACCCCATCCGTCAGAGGGGCCACCGCGGGCCACCCCCGGGGTCGGGCGTCGCGTTAACCCCTCGGCCGCCAGCATCTCAAGGAAGGACACGCGGGGCACCCTCGGGAAAGTGGGTCACGCAGCTACCTGGCTGGCACGAAGCCCGCGGTGCCTCCTGCGGGGAGAGCCCCCCCAAACTGCGATTGCAGTTCCGAGGCGAAGCCCAGCCCTGCGCAAGGCGGGGAGGTTGCGATCTCGCGCCACCGGGGCCTCAGCCTCCGGGTAAAGGAGCCGCAGGTGAGCCCTGCCGCAGAAGAGGGCACTCCGCGTCGGTGGTGGGGCGACGCGGTGCGGCAGCGCCCGAAACCATCTGGCAAAGGTGCTGGTAGAAGAAACGAAGCCCCCCTGCTATCCGCCAAGCCCTGCAGCCCACCAGATCCGAGACTGACGCCCTCCCCCTGGGGCTGTTGTCTCGTACCCCGAGACGGTGATTATTTTGCATTTATGTAACATGAAGTGTTTGCAAACTGCTTCCGGAGCTGAGAGCTGGTTATTGAATAAATAGAACGCTATTACATATTGTTATTTTTGTGTGAAAAACTGCGCGGAGAAAGTGCTTTCTTGCTACACAGAGATGTGCATCCTACTGCTTCCCTGCAGGGCAGGCTGTTCGGCTGCTCAACCTCTCCTTCTCCGCCGTGCCACCCGTTACCCCCTTACCTAAGCCGTGACCCAACTTTTCTGGCTCCTTTCACTCCCTACAACCCAGACGTGCCTGCGATCCAGCTCCCAGCCCCGGGGGAGGCACTGGATTGGGGGGTGTGTGTGGAAGGGAAAGGCAGAGGCGGAACGTGCTTACCTGGGAGGAAGAAGGCGGTCAAGCCGAGAGCGAGTCCCCACCAGAGTCCAGCGGCGCCCGCAAGCCCCATCCGAGCCATCGGGGGCCGGGGGTCCGGCGAGAGGGGCCGCGAGGAGAGCGCTCCTCGCGCTCCAGAAAGCAGCCCGGAAGACGAAGGCGATCCCTGCAGGCCGGCGGGCGCTCTGAAGATCCAGGTCAACCTCAGCCGTCGGCCGGGGCGGGGTGGGCTGGGTGGGATCGGCGCGGACGCAATCCGGGGCCCGGGCGGCCGCCGGCTCAGAGGCTCGGCAGATGCCCGCCGCAAGTTGCACGAGTCATGCCCCCTTCTCCTCCTCCGCTCTCCTCCCCGCGCCGGTCCCCGCCCTCTTCTTCCACGCAGAGCCGGGCTGGGGAGAGGGACCCACCCCCGGCGCGCCCGGCTGCCCGGCGCGGGCTCCCGGCCCCCGGCGCGCTCACACCCTCCCGCTCGGCTCCAACTTGAAGGCGTCCATGGGCGGCCGTCCTCCGAGGGCGGCGGGACGAGCGAGGGCGGCGGGCGGGCGGCGCGGTGGGCTCGGGGCCCAGGCGGAGGGCGCGCGGCTCGGCGGCCCAGGCGATCGGGCGGTGCGGCTCCAGGCGAGGAGAGCGATCCGGGGCGCCGCGTCCCCGCAGCGCCGCAGCTGCTCGCTCTGCCGGGTCCCGGCGATCCGCAACAATGTGGAGCTGCCCGGGCACCGAGTCGAGCCGCGCTCGCTCCTCTCCCTCTCTTTCTCTCACTCGCCGAGCTCCAGCCTCTCAGCCGCTCTCCCCGTGATGTCAGCCCGAAGGGGAGGGGTTAGCGTTAACCCCCTCCTGGCTCCCACGCGCGGCCCGCGCTCGGCCCCGGCCTCCGCCCCGCCGCGCACACCTTCCGGCCCCTGGCAGAGGCGGATCCCTAGCAAGGGCCGTGGGGTCGCGCTCAGGCCCACTGCTCGGGAGATGCCCCTTCGGTCGCCTTTCCGCCGGGGAGGGGGCCGAAGGGCTAGCCGCCCTCCTCCGTCGCTGACAAAGGGAGGCAGTGACCCCTAGCGGCCGGCGTCAGGGGAGAAGCCGCTCGGTGGGGGTGGAGTTAGGACTGGGTGGAGGCGGGGCTGTGGAGGAGCGGGCGTGCAGTACGGAGAAACCAGGATCCAGCAGTGTCCGAGGCGAAAGGTCTTCTCCAGGCCCTCTCCTCCAACTCTGGCCCCACTTTACAGATGAGGAAACAAAGGCCCAAAGAAGGTCAAGGCGGCTCGCCCAGGGGCATGAGCAGAAAGTGGCAGGGTTCGGATTAGAGCCCAGAAGATCCTGCTTCTCTGCATCACCTGAACGCTAAATGGAGAGGCAGCTATGCGGGGGGATCCTCCGGAAGCTGCCAGGGAAGTCGGTGGTGGGCATTCGTGGGTGACATGGGGCCGCTGAGGTTTCTGGTCTTTTCTAATACACGCTCCCTTCAGGAGTTCCTTTTCCAAAAACTGAAGCCCCCTCCCCTCCCTAAATAGAGCAAGAAATCTTGCTCTGCCCCCTTTGTGGAACCTCTGTTTTGAGCGATTTGCAGGATACCCGCGAAAGGGACCCATCCAGTGTCCGCGGCAAGGCAGGGACTCTCCGCCCCATCCCATTCACCACCCACCACATCCGGGTGTGGTTGGCTTCCTGCCAAGGCTGCTGGGCCCTCTGGGCCCTTGGCAGCCCGGCGCCTGCTCTCTGTTCCTTCCCTCCGGACCCCATCCTCTCCCTCAAGAGGAGACAGACAGAAAGAGTTTCCCGCTAAGGAGAAGCAAGTTCTTCCCGGACGCCTGACCAGACAATGCTCCCTTTGCCCATTGCTGCCCTTTGCCCAGCAGGCAGGAGCAGAGGGGGAGTGGCCCATTCCTGATAAAATGTAACTTCTAGTTCCTGGGAGTAGGCCGAGCAGAAAGAGGATGGGCAAGGAGGACACCGCTTTCCCATTATTTGGGATCTGGTCCTGGAGTGTCTGTTGGTTTCCTGCTGAAGCCTGTAGACTAAAGTGCTCATGTGAACATTCACACTCATACATCCATCTTTTACATTTAACAAATGTAATTGGGCTTTCTTTGTACCAAACACCATACCAGGCTTGGGGATACAGAGACATCGTCATTGCCCTAAGCGCACTTGGTCTAGTTAGGGGGCAGAGGGGGAAGACAAACAGAAGCAGATGTTATAAACAAGCATTTCATGTGTGTGGTGTGTCCCAGAGATGTGCACACGTGATTTGACGGGTCTCAGAGAAAGTGCCCAGTTCAGTCTGGGGTGGGGTGGGGATCAGGGAAGGCTTCTGTGGGGAAGGCACACAGGGGCTGAGTGCTGGAGGAGAGAGGCATTAAGCTGTACCTGAACCTAAGACTCGGGGAAAGGAGAGACCGGCAGTGAATACCAGGTAGCCACCACGAGGGTTTTACCTGGAGGATGCCTTATCAATTTGGTGTGTGGTCGTCCAGTCTGGCCCTATAAGGACCAGTGCTGGATTGAGTTCACTGCAGTGGTCTCAGACTCTGCTTCTGAATACTTGATGTATTCACCATTGGGCTGTCACCTCCTCCAGGATAGGACCACGTGTAGGAGATGGACTGGATAGGTTGAAGGGGCAGTTCCAGATGCACCAATGCCTGCTAGTTCCCCGCTTACGTTCTCCCATCTCTCCATTGTTGGGTAAGGCTTCTTTGATCTTCTGCCATTAAATGGGCTTCCAGAGAGACTGTGCCTGGGGGTTGGCATGGCTGCCTGGGGATGGGTTGGGTGGAGAAGATGGAGGCGGATTAAACCAGTCCCTGAAACACGCAAAGCACCAACATGGGTGCCAGCTTGTATGTGTTGTGTGTGTGTGTGTGTGCGCGCGCGTGGGTGTGCGGGTGCGGTGGGTTGCAGTAGACAGAAAAGGGAGCCAGGAAGGGACAAAGAGAAATAAGATAGAGCTTGTTTACTAAGATAGATGATTCACTGAACAAATATCTTTTTGAGCATCTACTATGCTATGTACTGAGGTCACCAAAGACAGCAAGAGCCACGACCCCACTCAAATAACTATATTATAGGATGGAAGTTGTTCGCTGCCAAAGAGAGCCAAAAAAGATGCTGGCGTCCAGAGGAGACACTGAGTGCTTCTCATTGTGGAGAGCAGGGAAGGCTTCTGGAAGAGGTGGCCTTGAAGGGTTGATCAGATTTGGACCAAGGGAGATGGAGGGGACACTTTCCGTGGAGGGAACGACTTGTACAAGAACATGAAATTTGGAGAGGTTGGGGCCTGTTTGGGAGCAGCAGGTGGTCCAGCTTGTTTTGCATTTTGAAGATCATAAGAGAAAGGGACAAGAAAGTGAAAGTAGACTGTGAAAGGTCTGGAATGTTTCCCTCAGTGATGGGAAGAAACATAGGACCAAGCATCAGGAGACTAAGTTCTGGTCCCTACTCTTAAGCCGGAAGGAAGCCTAGGAGTCATTCTTGCTTCTTCCCTCTTCTTTGACCATCATATTCCAATTCAAAAGCAAATGTTGAGTATGCCTCCAATAGATGTCTTAAGTCTAGTGACATGGCTCCACTTCTACTGTTATCACCCTAGTCCGTGCACTCATGATTTCTGCCTGATCCTTGTAATATCCTTGCAGTAGAGCCAGTGCACACTGAGGGGAGGGGGTACAATGTAATGTTCAAGCACACAGGACTCTGGAGCTAGACTGCCTAGATTTGAATCCTTAAACTCCAGTTCTGTCACTCAGTAGCTGTGTGTCCTTGGGCCACTGACTTAACCTCTCTGTCCTCAGCTTCCTCATGTGTAAAATGAGGGGGAATAAAATACTCAGTCATGGACTTGCAAGGATTAAATGAGTTAAACACATTAAGTACTTGAAACAATGCCTGGTGTACAGGAAGAACGGTTTAAGTGTTAGTCATCGTTATTACTGTAATCTCTCTCCCTGCATCCAGTTTCGCTCCTCTCTGCCACAGTGCCAGAGGGATACATGTATTTTTAAAACTTCTTATTTTGAAATAGTTTTGGGCTTACGGAAGAGATGTAAAAATGGTACAGAGTTTTCAAGTGTCTTTCATCCAGCTTCCCCTAATATTAATGTTTTACATAAACGTGGTACCTTCGTTAAACCTAAGAAATAAGTATTGGTATAATACTATTAACTCAACTACAGAATTTATTCCGATGTCTTTTTCTTCTGCTAATGTCTACTTTATGTTCCAGGATCCAGTACACAATACCCCATTGATTTAACAGTGGATTGTCTTCCAATGCAAATGATTAGGTCCCAATGCCTGAGAAGCCTTCCTTGGCCAGCCAGCCTCTGAGGCCAGTGTCAAGTTCTCAGTAAGGCCATTGAGGCTGCCTGCTTCTGCAGCCCTTTCTCAGCCTGCTCCAGGGCTTTGAGTAGGAGCCGCTGGGCTTTCCTGAGGTTCTAGCCACCAAACTTGCTTCCTTGGGCTTCACCGAAGCTGGAGCTGCCTCAATGTTCTTCTACTTCTTTTGACCAGCTACGTATCTATCCTTCAGGGCTCAGTTTACATGTGTCACTTCCCCAGGGTGGCCCACTTTGCCCTTCAGACCAGGCGAGTCCCTTCCTATATGTTCCCACAGTTTCCTTGGCATACTTGTGACCACTTTCAGTAGTTGTTTATAATACTTGGTTCACTCCCTGCTGGGCTGTCAGCCCCTCCAGGGCAGGACCACTTCTGTCTTGTCCTCTGCTTTATTGCTGGTACCTAGGATGTGTCTGGCACTCAGTAGGCACATTTAATGAAAATGTGTTGATTGACTAACACATCTTGTGCAACTTTCTACCAGTCACTTCACTTCTCTCTGGGCCTGTTTTCTCACCCGCAGACTGATGAATTTAATTTTTTCAGTGGTTTTCTAACTGTGGTTTGAAAGCCCTAGAATTTCCTGGGATCCCTATTCCCTGCTTCAATAGGAAGCATGTTTAAAGAGCATACTGTTTTCATGCTCTTCAAACATTGGGCTTCTGAGAAAGAGTCTTCAGAATGGACTCTGCTGCTTAAAAAGTTTGAACCCCCTGACATATTATTACATTGTATATTATGCATTGCATAGAGTTGCATCATTTTGTAACTCCATGTTTGTTTTTTTTTGTTTGTTTTTTTTTTTTAGGGAGGTGAGGCATGGTTATTTAGCCTTGACCATTTCTTGGAAGAAATTGCAATGTTTCTCTTTTTTTTTTTTTTATAAATTTATTGTTTTTATTTATTTATTTTTTGGCTGTGTTGGGTCTTCGTTGCTGCGCGTGGGCTTTCTCTAGTTGCGGCGAGCAGGGGTTACTCTTCGTTGCAGTGCACGGGCTTCACATTGCAGTGGCTTCTCTTGTTGTGGAGCACGGGCTCTAGGCACGTGGGCTTCAGTAGTTGCAGCACGTGGGCTCAGTAGTTGTGGCTCACGGGCTCTAGAGCACAGGCTCAGTAGTTGTGACGCACAGGCTTAGTTGCTCCGTGGCATGTGGGATCTTCCCGGACCAGGGATCGAACCCTTCTCCGCTGCATTGGCAGGCAGATTCTCAACCACTGCGCCACCAGGGAAGCCCAACTCCATGATTTTTGTTTTATTTCCCGCAGGCAATGGTGAGCCATTGAAGGTTTCTGAACAGAGAAGTGCTCGTTGGGAGCTGTCGGAGCTGGGCTCCCAGGAGATGAATCTGGCAATGACGTGGGTAGGACAGACAGATGACGACTGGTCAGTGAGGGAGGAGGGGGGTGAGGAGTGAGGGTTGTCATGGAAGCCAAGTGAGGAGAGACTTTAACGGGGGAGGAAGTTTCCAATAGTGTCTGATGCTTCAGAGAGCCGGTGGGAATCAGAGGAGGCCTTTGGATACAGTGGCAAAAACGCCAGTGACCTTTGAGAGGGTGGTGTTGGGGGCAGAACCCAGATCAAAGTGGGAGCAGAAGAATGTGGAAGGTGAAAAAGCAGAGGCAGCTGGTGTCCACCCTGCTCTTGAGGAAT